GCACAACAAAAGGAGTAAGATAGTTATATTCATTTAATTCTAATAAACTTTACAATACTAGCAGTTATAGAAAAACTATGAATTTACAACATCATTCTGGTTGTTGGTATACTACACAGAATATGAAAGGGTTTTGTATCACTATTGTTCAGGTACTGCATTGTGAGCTTAAACCCAAGTCTAACTTTTTCAGCTTTAAAGCTAAACCGGAGATAATAAAGAAATGTCCTCAAATAATCTATAAACTTGAAGTTTCTTTCAATAACATAACTAATTTCAATGAGAGGTTCGCAAAATTAACAAAAAATTTATATATAGAATATGAAGAACTTAATGTCATTTTAAAAGAAAGTAAATTGACTCCAATAAATCCTCAAAAAGAAGACAATATAGTCATTGGCCGTACATTAATTCTATAGAAAAATTTATATAAAATTATTATCTGAAAAGCTTTTATATAAAGACTTCATAATGATATTTCTGCCATTTCTCCCTTTAACAATTTCTGCTTGCCTAAAATATTTTTTTGAATCTATTATTAAATCATTACATTAAAATCCTAATGGTTCATCTCATACAGAAAAAGCTTATAATTACTGTATATATACTGATATCATAAATATTTAATGCTATATACATAGAGTTAGTGGTACAGTTATTTCAGAATTTTATTACACTTTTAACTTATATTTTGTTGTTTATTCACTGTCTATATTGGGAACTTTCGGATTAGTTTAATTAAAAGATATAGCTTATCATCACTTTTACAGTTAGGCCATTTGAATTTAAAAGTTCGTGCTAGCTAGTGCTCCATATTGATGCATTATTGGCGTAGCCAAGTACCAACCCTATATATACAGTCGACTCTATACTGAACCCTTGGGGCTTATTAGGAAAATAGCTTCAATATATTCGATTTACAAATGTATTTAACGTTAATATTTTATAATAAAATTAAAATTTTAAAGTTCGATTTAAATAGAGTTAAATAGAGTTTATTAAGTATTCTGTTTATCCAAGTTTGGTTTAGTAAAAATACAAAAAAAAAAATTTTAAATTGAAGTTATAAAGCAAATAACTCAAATTAAATATTCAAAAACAAGTTTAAATACAATTATTGCTATCTGGAAATATTATATCTAACAAATCATATCTCATCTAATAGTTCAGATAAACCCATGTAAAGAAAATAAATTAATATTTGAAAGAATAATAAATTAGAAAAAATAGTATTGATGTATAATTAACTATGAAATAAAGCTAAAGTTTAATTTTCTATTTGGATTTATAAAACCTACTAAAACTACTTATACTTTCTTATTAACAATTCTAATACTAAATTCTATTTTAAAATAATAATAATAATAATAATAATAAAATACAAGTCTAATTATGTTTTCTTAAGAGTTATAGCTAGTGATGGTCCAAAATTGAACCTAGCTGCCATACAAAAAATACGTAGATGATCCTTGATTTTGATTGGCTAACGGCCATAGATCTGCAAAATTTTGGTTCGCATTATATAATTGTTTACTCAATTCTGGCCAGAATTAACTTTTTAACTTTTTCATTCTAAAAATATAAATTTTCAAAGAAATAGGCTCGCGTTATGTTAAAATCAGCTCAGGAACAATTTTCACTTAATACATAGCAGTGATTTTATTAGTAAAATTTTGAGTAATTCTGGCTAAAATTTTTGATCGTCACTCCTAGCTAATTAAAATCGAGAATCATCTGCGCATTTTTGTGTAGCAGTAGCATAGTAGATATTCAATTTGATTAGCTCATAAAACCCCATATTACACAATATTAAAAAAAAATTTTAAAATAAGCCTTACTATAAAAAGTCACATCGTTAATTGGCAACTTATGATTTCACATAGTAAAATTTAAAAAAAAAACTTTTTTCATATTCTTTAACTCTTAATACGTCTTCTGTCAAAAAAGATCAGTATAGATTAGTATCACTAAAAACTTTGCTTAAAAGAGAATAATCTTACTATTTATT